ACAGATCTTCAACAGGAAAGTACACTGAAACGTTAGCTCAAGGAGTTAAGAAACATAACCAGGTATAGATTTATACAGATCTTCAACAGGAGAGTACACTGAAACGTTAGCTCAAGGAGTTAAGAAACATAACCTTGTATAGATTTATACAGATCTTCAACAGGAAAGTACACTGAAACGTTAGCTCAAGGAGTTAAGAAACATAACCTTGTATAGATTTATACAGATCTTCAACAGGAGAGTACACTGAAACGTTAGCTCAAGGAGTTAAGAAACATAACCAGGTATAGATTTATACAGATCTTCAACAGGAGAGTACACTGAAACGTTAGCTCAAGGAGTTAAGAAACATAACCTTGTATAGATTTATACAGATCTTTATACGAAGGAATAGGAGAATGTATTTTTTTTTAAAGTTCTAGTTAGTTTAAAGTACATTTCACTTTTAAAACAAAACACTATGAAGAGAATAACAATAATAAATTGATACGAATGCCGAATTCATGAACAGAATGGTCAGCGAAGATTTTAGTTTTTACGACTATGGTAATTATGCTTTTATAAAAATTTCAGCACTTAGTTTACAGAAATTCAAGTGTTCGCACGAATGAAATAAAATATGTTGTAATATCTTTTGTGTGAGCTTTGAAAAACATGTTACTAATGTAGATATTATAGTGTAGTTCTTATTAATAACGTACATAGCTCGGTTTCACATATATGGTATCAGTAGAAGTGTTATCTAGCACCGGTTTCGTAGCTTTGCTGCTTTTCTCAGTGTGAAGGTGTAAAGTGAGATTCAGGTTACAGAGCTTCAGTTTAACCTATACGAAACCGTTGCTAAGGAAAAACGTCCAATATCTCTAATGAAAGACTAAATTCTTTGTGTATCCAACTAACTACATCTTGGCAGACAACAATGAACGTCAATTTACATAAATCTTTGTTTCATAATATTCTTTAAGCTATATACTGCCGTCCCTTTCTCGTTGAAATGAAGCAGATCTAGTGATCACGTGACTTTAGAGTCAGTTTCATGTTCTATACAAATCTTAACGTGTTTTGTAGTAACCAAAAATGGATTTGTTTATTAGGCAGCTTCCGAGGTTTTATTCACATTACAGTGATTAAGCACGCAACCACACTCACAAAAAAAAGGGGGGGATTATACACAAATGTAATGGAACATGTGCATGCAAAACGAACGCATATTAGGGTATAAGATAACACTTCATTCAAGAGAGAGAGAGAGACAGATAACAAGTGCTGCAAAGCTTTAATTGTAACGATACAGCCACAATTCATCAGACGCTGAATGATTGCTCTTGTATCGAGTAACTGCAGCAACAATCATTATCGACAGAACACCATCCGCCATGACAGTTCTTTAAAATATAATCAAACTATATTTCCACGTGGACGACTCGTGGGTGAATAGTAGGTTTAAGCTTGCATCACTATATCACGGAGCCATTGGTATCCGCAATTTAAAGAATGATAGCAGATATTCTTATTACATATCGAAGCTAAAATGATATTATCAGATTTAAACACTCCAATGTTCTAACTCTCACAAGCATGTGGGGGGTGGGGGGTGGAGTGCCAGTAGGCCTAACATCTACATATTTAACTATGTTACTATATACACTAAGCTTCATGTAAAATATAGAAATATATATATATATAAATATAACTACAATATTAATTTGTTATGTTTGGGGGTAAACTCTAAAAAAACCTGTTTAGTTAGAAATTTAACTGACAAACCGTCTGCCGTTTTTCTTCTAAATGTTTTGAGTGAGCCCTACATCGTATTATTTAACATTGGTATGAGTAATATCTTCAGCAACTGGAACATGCTAGAAGTTCGGTTCTGTTTCGTAGTGTGTTCAGACTTATTGCTGTAATTAAAGAATGTGTTCAGACTTATTGCTGTAATTAAAGAGTGTGCTCAGATTTATTGCTGTAATTAAAGAGTGTGTTCAGACTTATTGCTGTAATTAAAGAGTGTGCTCAGACTTATTGTTGTATTTAAAGAGTGTGTTCAGACTTATTGCTGTAATTAAAGTGTGCTCCGACTTATCGCTGTAATTAAAGTGAGCTCAAACTTATTCCTGTAATTAAAGAGTGTGCTCAGACTTATTGCTGTAATTAAAGAATGTGTTCAGACTTATTGCTGTAATTAAAGAGTGTGCTCAGACTTATTGTTGTAATTAAAGAGTGTGCTCAGACTTATTGTTGTAATTAAAGAGTGTGCTCAGACTTATCGCTGTAATTAAAGAGTGTGCTCAAACTTATTGC